AGTGCAGTGGCACAGTCATAGTTCACTGAAGTCTTGAACTTCTGGGCTCAAATGGTTCTCCCATCTCAGCCTCCCAAGTAGCTGGACTACAAGTGCCTGCCACCATGCCCAGCTAATTTTATTTTATTACTTTTTTTTTTTTTTTTTTTTTGAGACAAGAGTCTTGCTCTTGTCACCCAGGCTGGAGTGCAGTGGCATCATCCTGGCTCACTACAACCTCCACCTCCCAAGTTCAAGCGATTCTCCTGCCTCAGCCTCCCAAGTAGCTGGGATTACAAGCCATCACCACACCCGGCTAATTTTTGTATTTTTAGTAGAGATGGAGTTTTGCCATGTTGGTCAGGCTAGTGTCGAACTCCTGACCTCCTGATCCACCCGCCTCAGCCTCCCAAAGTGCTGGGATTACTGGCTGAGCCACCGCACCCAGCTGCCCAGCTTAATTTAAAAAATTTTGTAGAGGAGGCCGGGCACGGTGGCTCAAGCCTGTAATCCCAGCACTTTGGGAGGCCGAGGCGGGTGGATCACGAGGTCAAGAGATCGAGACCATCCTGGTCAACATGGTGAAACCCCGTCTCTACTTAAATACAAAAAATCAGCTGGGCATGGTGGCGCGTGTCTGTAGTCCCAGCTACTCAGGAGGCTGAGGCAGGAGAATTGCCTGAACCCAGGAGGCGGAGGTTGCGGTGAGCCGAGATAGCGCCATTGCACTCCAACCTGGGTAACAAGAGCAAAACTCCGTCTCAAAAAAAAAAAAAAAAAAAAAAAAATTTTGTAGAGATGGGTTCTTACTGTGTCACCCAGGCTGGTCTCAAACTTTTGGCCTCAAGTGATCCTCCCAAAGTACTGAGATTACAGACATGAGCTACCGCTTCCAGCCCAGTTAAAGAGGCTTTTGATGGGAGAAATGTACTCAGAGTGTACCACAGAAAAGGCTTAGACCAATAGGGGAACAGAAAGGGCATTCCTGTGGAGTGAGGAGCTTGAGCTGAGATCCTTGGAGAGGTATTTATGCCATGTATTTGGGAACCATGTATAAGAGCAGTTTGTCTGCAGTGGTGCAGGGCATAAACACAGGGCACTTGTGGAAATAAGTTTGGAGGGCTTGGCAGGTTTTAGAAGTTGATTGTGGAGGGCAACTGAGTACCAGGCTAAGATGTTTGGACTCTTCCCTGTTGCACCACAGAGATGTTGAAGGCTTCTGAATGTGTATGTATTGGGGGGTAGGTAGCATATCCAACATGTTTTAGGATATGATTCTAGTTGCTTGTGTAGGAACATTGACAGCAGGGGTGACAAAGATTGGAAGCACAGAGGTGATTATGCCAGGCACAGTGATATGAGCCTATAGTCCCAACTACTTCAGAAGGTGAGGTGGGAGGATTGCTTGGGCACAGGAGTTTGGGGCTATAATGTGCTATGCTGATCAGGTGTCTGCACTAAGTTCAGCATCAGGCCAGGCACAGTGGTATGCGCCTATAGTTCCAGCACTTTGGGAGGCTGAGGCAGGTGGCTCGCTTGAGCTCAGGAGTTGGAGACCATGGGAAACGTGGCAAAACCCGATCTCTACAAAAAATGAAATAATTAGCTGGATATGGTACAGCATGCCTATAGTCCCAGCTACCTGGGAGACTAAGGCAGGAAGATTGCTTGAGCCCAGGAGTTTGAGGCCACAGTGAGCTATGAACATGCCACTACACTCCAGCCTGGGCAATAGAGTAAGACCCTGTCTCAAAAAAAAAAAAAAAAAAAAAAAAAAAAAAAAAAAAAAAGTTCAACATCAATATGGTGACCTCCCAGGAGCAGGGGATCACTAAGTTGCCTAAGGAGCGGCGAATTGGCCCAGGTAAGAAAAAGAGCAGGTCAGAACTCCCATGCTGATGTGTAGTAGGCTAACACTTGCGACGCCACTATGCTCCACCCTGGGCAACATAGCAAGACCTCATTTCTAAAAAAAACAAGAAGATGATGATGATTGCAAGGTGAGAAAACAGGTGGATTTGAGATTAAACCAAATCTTTAGTTTCCCCGTATTTCCTAATTGTCAGGCCCTATGTTGTATGTTTCTGCATACATAATCTTATTAAATCCCTACGACAGTTTTGCAGATAGATGTTGTTTTCTGTGCTATGGATAAAGAAATTGAGACCTTAGGAAAGGTAATGTAATTTGTTCAGGATGACACAGTGAATAAACGATAGAGCCCATTTCCTAATCTATATATGTACCACTACAAAACCCAGTCTCTGCCACTACATCAGGGCTTCACAAACTGTGTATGCATCAGAACCTCAGGTGCTGCTTGAGAGCCACTCAATCATAAACTTTAAGGGTGGGCCTAGCAGATGCCCCATATGATTGATAATACACTGAAGTGTGAGAACCACTCAGCCCACCATGCTGTCTCTCTAGTGGTTTTAGCATTCTCATCAATTACCCCAGAGTCCTCCACCCCACACAGAGGTCTTATAGTGGTGACAAGCCTGCTTCTTGGGCTCTGCAAGAGTCTTTGGTCCACAGCAACAGACTGTGACTATAGGCTCCAGACCCCTACTCTTCAAAGTGTAGTTTAGAGTCTGGCCACTCATCCAGGCTTGGAAGCTTGCTTAAAATGCAGGTGCTTAGGCCCTACTGTATGGAACCAGAATCTCCATTTTAACAACATCCTCCAGTGATTTAGAGTCTGAGAATGGCTGCTCTAAAGCATAAGTTTGAAATGTGAGGGAACTATAATAAAGTTATTTCATTAGGCTTCTGCAGTCTGTAAATAAAGAGTAGTGCAAAGCAGACCATGGAAGGAAAAATTTTATTTATTGAATGCCTGCTGCATGTCTGATGTTTTTGGCACTTTATTTCATTTATCCTCGTAAGAACCCTGTGAAGTAGTCATCATCCCCATTCAGCTGATGAGATAACTGACACTCTGAGAAGTTAAGTACTTGCCCAAGATCACACAGCTACTGGGTGCCTAAGCTAGGAATCAAGTGTAAATCTGTCTTGACTTCAAAACCCATATGTGCTCTTTACAGCCTACCACATTGATTCTCAGGCAGCCAGCAGGCAATGAAGGAATTCATTTTCTTCCCTATTGCTGTGTGTTCTTCCATACACCTGTAGGATCCAGTTACCTGGAACAGTGCATAAGAGTTCTGCAATTTGGGAAAGATAAAAATAGAACAAGTTCTGTGCTGGCAGCTCTTCTCTATGGTGTTTTGGTCAGCCTTTCCACTTGAGCAAGCCTGACCTCCAAATTGTTTACACAGGTTAATTTCAACAGCCAATGAGAGAGATTGGCAGAAAGCAGTTTCTGGGTATATGGCTACACTGCCAGCCTGGTTTTTCATCGCCAGGTGTCCTGACATTCACTAGTTTTCCAAAGTACAGAGTTTTTAATGCCTTCTCTCTAGATTCCATTTTACTACGAAGTCATTTCTTTGCTTTAACTCAATCAGTCCATGAATCACAAAGGAGCCCTATCTATGTAACTTTTATTGTGTGTACCTAAGCATGCACCTAAGAAAACTCCCAATTATATAAAAATTAGCCAGGCATGTGGCACATGCCTATAATCCCAGCTACTGGGAGACTGAGGCAGGAGAATCACCTGAGCCCAGAGAAGTCATGGCTGCAATGAGCCATGATCATGCCACTGCACTCCAGTCTGGGTAACAGAGTGAGACTCTATCTCAAAAAAAAAAAGCAAGAAAAGAAAAATCCCAGTGAACTGGTTTGTTTGAACAGGGATCTAAACCTACTTAGTTTATAAAACAATTGAAAAGCTAAGATTGAGGTCCTTGAACTGATTATGTTCCTTGTGAGTTCTGTATTCTCTTTTCCTACTGCAAAGCCAGTGTTGAGCTGTCTAGGGTCTCTTCCTATTCTAATTCTGCATTCTCAAGTATAGTTCACCAAATATAAGTTCTTTAAGGCCATAGTCTATGCCTTTTATTCATCTGTTTCCCAGGCTCCCAACAGGGTTCTTGGGAAAGGCATTAGTATATGTTTTCTTTCTGTATGAATGAATATAGAATTAGGACAGGGGTTATGCTAACAGCCACTGCCCATTGAACACTTACTATGTGTCAAGGCCTGCATATACTGGATTCTATGTAATCGTCTCATCAACCAGTGATATAGATACTATTACCATCTCCATTTTACTTAGAGGAAATTTGAAACTTAGAAAGGTGAAGTGACTTCTTAAGTCATATATGTAATAGTGGATCTGGAGTCTGAAAACCAGGCAGTTTAACTCTCAAGCCTATGCTCTTGACTAAAAGGCTACAATGCCTCCTAAAACTAGTATGTAAATGCTTATTATTTGCCAAGTGCTCTTTGTTTATATCTCATGTAATCCTCACAGCTACCTTCTGAAATGGAGCCTATTTTGCATTCATTTTAAACAGGTAAGGAAGCTGAAAAGTGAAGTGGCCAAGATAATACAGCTACTTAGTGACAAGGAAGGGGGAAAACCCAGTTCTGCCTGGGGGCATCTGCTCCTAGCTGCCTCCCAGACCCAGTAGCTGTGGTACATGCAATTACACATTCATCTCTTTGGCAAATGTTTATTCAGCACATGTTATGTGCCAGGCATTGTACCGAGTGCCTTATATACATATCTAATTTAAACTTCACAGCAACCATGTGAAGTGTTGGTACTGTTTTTATTCCCACTTATAATGGGGAAACTGAAACTTAACGTGTCACTAGTGTGTTGAGTGGAAATGGTAATAATAGCTAATATTTATGACTGCCTCCTGTGTCCTACTTATACTGTTTTAAGTGCTTTACATATATTATTTCATGTAATTCTTACTATAACCCTATAGTCATTGTATATTAGAATGTAATATAAGGACTTTTATCCCTATTACAGGTAAGGAAGTAGGCATTTGCCCAAGTTTACATAGCCAGTAAGTGGCAGGGCCAGGTTTATACCTAGGCAGTCTGACTCTACAGCCTGCAGTGTAACTGTATGTTGGTTTTTGTCTTCCTCTCCATAGGCACCCAAATTGGCTGAAAACTTCTGTGTCTGCCATTTGGCTACTGGGGACATGCTGAGGGCCATGGTGGCTTCTGGCTCAGAGCTGGGAAAAAAGCTGAAGGCAACTATGGATGCTGGGAAACTGGTAAGTTTGGTGGTACCAGTGAGTACTGATATTCCTCAGAATCCAGATCTGCACTGTCCAGTATGGTAGCCACCAGCCACAGGTGGCTATTTAGATTAATTTAAATTTAATTAATGTAAAAATCAGTTCCTCAGTTGCACTACCCATGTTTCAAGTATTTACCAGCCAGTGCAGATACAGAATTTTCCATCATCAAACAAAATTCTGGTGGACAACCATGTGCTAGAGGGTGTTTTAACAAACTGAGAGATTATAGGAATTTTTAGAGTACGAGTTACTTTGTTCTGAATTTATGGCACTTATTTATAGTATTATTGGAGTTTTTCTGTGCTGATGTATTTTGTTGCATACCCAAATTTTAGAGCCAGAAAAGAAACTGCTGTCCTTAGGCCAGAACTCAGAGAGGTATTGTGGCTCTGTGTTCTATTTCTGTATCAAGGCAGTTACTTCCCAGTTGCGACAAAGGTAATCCTTCCTATTTGGGGGCTGTAATTGCATTTTCTCTCTTTTTTTTTTTTTTTCCGGAGACCCAGGCTGGAGTACAGTGGTGCAGTCACGGCTCACTACAGCCTCAACCTCCTGGGCTCAAGCGATCCTCCCACTTTGGCCTGATGAGTAGCTGGGACTACAGGAACACACCACCATGCCGTGCTAGTGTGTGTGTGTTGGGGGTGGAGGGTAGAGACGGGGTGTCACTATGTTGCCCATACTGGTTTTGAACTCCTGAGCTCAACCTAGGAGCAGTCCTCCTGCCGCGGCCTCTCAAAGTGCTGGGATTACAGGTGTGAGCTGCCGTGCCCAACCACATTTTTTCTTTCTTTAGGCTAGTTGACCTAATTGGACAAATACAATCAATTATTTTCTGGCAGACCTAATTGGACAAATACAATCAATTATTTTCTGGCACTAATCAAAGATCTCTAGATTAATTATAACTGGGTTATTCTGAAACTTGGCGTCTGTTAATCACGTTCAGAAGTCATTTTGTGGCTGGGTGCGGTGGCTCATGCCTGTAAATCCCAGCACTTTGGGAGGCTGAGGAGGGTGGATCACCTGAGGTCGGGAGTTGGAGACCAGCCTGATCAAAATGGAGAAACCCTGTCTCTACTAAAAATACAAAATTAGCCAGTTGTGGTGGCCCATGCCTGTAATCCTAGCTACTGAGAAGGCTGAGGAAGGAGAATCGCTTAAACCCGGGAGACAGAGGTTGTGGTGAGCTGAAATCACACCATTGCACTCCAGCCTGGGCAACAAGAGTGAAACTTTGTCTCAAAAAAAAAAAAAAAGAGGCCAGGTGCAGTGGCTCACGCCTGTAATCCCAACACTTTGGGAGGCCGAGGTGGGAGGATCACCTGAGGTCAGGAGTTCAAGACCAGCCTGACCACATGGAGAAACCCCCTCTCTACTAAAAAAAATACAAAAAAATTAACTGGGCATGGTGGCGCATGCCTGTAATCCCAGCTACTTGGGAGGCTGAGGCAGGAGAATGGCTTGAACCTGGGAGTCGGAGGTTGCAGGGAGCTGAGATCACACCATTGCACTCCAGCCTGGGCAACAAGAGCGAAACTCTGTCTCAAAAAAAAAAAAAAGAAAAAGAAAAGAAATCATTTGGTGCTTGGTCTTGGTGCTTGGTCTTTTGTTCTTTGCTTTTTATCTTAGCATGTTGGTTGGGAAAGGAGCTGGGTTTGCTATCATCCTCAAGTTACTTTCTGTTAGGCTTTGAGATTCTGTAGCTATATCAAGTGGTACCTCTGCCTCCCCACCTGCTTGCCCATTTCTCTAACTTTCCCTTCATGTGATTGAGGCCCTGAGTCAAACCAGAAAGCTAGATATTTTGGACTTTGGGTCTTGGCAAAAGACTCTGTACTAAGAAAAAAATTGAGATGTGGCAATGAGATTGCTTATCTCCAGACTTCACTTAGTTGCAGAGCATGTACTTTGTCCCCATGTTCTCAGTTAGTGCCACGAAATAAGAGGATTAGCTGCCAAGATGGGCAGGCTTCACTACAGGCTGGAGACTTTTCCTTCTATAATGACCCAAGAGAAAAACCAGTTTTAGAAAACTGGGAGAGGTCCTTATTGGGGTTTTAGAGAGACTCAGAGTGTGTTGGCTTGTGACTGGTTGCAGCGGCTCACACCTGTAATCCTAACACTTCGGGAGGCCGAGGCAGGCAGATCACTTGAGGTCAGGAGTTCGAGACCAGCCTGGCCAACATAGCGAAACCCCATCTCTACTAAAAATATAAAAATTGTCTGGGCATGGTTGTGTGCGCCTGTAGTCCCAATTGCTTGGGAAGCTGAGGCATGTGAATCACTTGAACCTGGAAGGTGGAGGTTGCAATGGGGAGATTATGCCACTGTACCCAAGCCTGGGCGACAAACAAGAATGTCTCAAAAAAAAAAAAAAAGTGAGGGAAGGGTGTTGGCTTGGCTTCTCAGTTCCTTGGTTCTGACCCATTCTTGCCAATTCAGTGAACTTCTCTGTTTCCTCATGTCCAGGATGGCCCAGATGTGTAACTAAGTACACACATCAGTCATGTTACTGTTAGTCTAATGACAGCTGTGAAACGGAAAGCAGATGGTCTTTCCGTGTTTTTGTCAACCCCGTTCTTTCCTGGCACTCTCAGGTGGTCTCTCAGCCATGTGTCTTCACCTTTCTTGTGCCTTGAGGATCTCCGATTACTGATAAGCTGTTATCTGACAGCTTGGACTCTGGACTCTAGTGGCAAGAGGGGCCTTCAGAACCTAAGATACAAAGTTCCCCTGGTGAGATAACAAGTAATGGAATCTACCTTCCCTCACCCAGATTTTTGGGATACAGAAGAATTTCAAGAGACGAGAATGTGTATATGGCAACCACAGGGATAAAATCATGAAACTGGATCTGCCCAATGGAGCCATTTCACATTGGCTCTTATTGTTGCTTCTTTGAGTCCAAGAAAACTTGCTGTTTAGTAATAAGTTTATATACACATAAACTTTTGGCTGTGGAGTTGGGCTAATGTCAATCACCTAGATCATAGATTTAAACCAAAGGCTCTTTTGTTCTTAACTTCCAGGTGAGTGATGAAATGGTAGTGGAGCTCATTGAGAAGAATTTGGAGACCCCCTCATGCAAAAATGGTTTTCTTCTGGATGGCTTCCCTCGGACTG